CGATTCGGCTTATTAAGTTTACGTCCCCTTCTCCCCTTGTTGTCCTTGTCCTTTCGGATCTCGCGCACCAGTGTGTAAAATGCATCATCAACGCCCATGCGCGTCTTGGCCGATGTCTCAATGTATGGAATGCCGTATTGTTTGGCCACCTTCAAAGTCAAAAAGTAAAGAGGATTATTAAAAAATGAACTAATAAGTTAAAAACTACTCCGGCTGACTACGACTTACCTCTCTTGCCTGCTCGTTTTTAACGTTCCACGTGGTCAAGTCGCACTTATTGCCTACCAGCACCATTGGCACCTCCTCGGCATCCTTAACCCGTTTGATCTGCTCTCGGTATGTGCCAATGTCCTCAAAGGATTTTGCACTATTTACCGCAAAGACCAAAAGGAAACCCTCGCCCGTGCGCATATACTGATCCCGCATGGCCGAGTACTCCTCCTGTCCAGCGGTATCCAAGATGTCCAAAAGGCAGGTTTCTCCATCTGCAAGAACAGAGTTCTCAATCAGAGAGTTTATCACATGTGCAATGCCCCTGAAATACTCACCAATGACCACTTGCTTTCGGTACGAGTCCTCGATTGTGGGATCGTATTCGTCAACAAAATGATTCTGAATAAGTTGGATGGTCAACGCCGATTTCCCAACGCCTCCCGCACCAACAACAACCAATTTGTATTCCGTCATTGGTATTCCGCTTTTGATTAGCCGTTGTGTCTAGCGATCAACGTGGTGCACTGGTACAAGAACCCGCAGCTGCAGTCTTTGGGGGTGCGTGTCTTAGGATGCGTGTGGCTGTGTGGATGTCTCTCCTGGGCTGCAAGTAAAGTAAATTAATAATTAAAAATGATTAAAATAAATTAAACGCATAATTAGGCACAAATTAATGTAAGATGGAATCCGCCGCTTGGCTTCCATATTATTCTACCACAGATGCATACAGTGACGGACAAATGTTTGGCACGACCCCATTTTGGAAAAATTAGCTTCCAGATGCCGATTAAAATTGTTTCTCAGATAACATAAAAGCGAAAATAGGCTGTAATTGACTTTGGAAATTAAAAACGTTTCAATTAAAGTAAACGAGCAGCTTGCACCAACAAAAAAGCGGAGATTTTTAGTTTTGACCTATCACACCTATATTTATACATGCATATGTACATACATACATATGTATACACAAACACTGTCCAACATATAATTATAATTAAAATAATCCGTTCAAGCCCGCTCCAGGTGGAATACAATTAAACAGGAAATTTAAAACCGGGGGTCGCACGCAGACTGCTGTCCGCCACTGTAGGTAGTATGCACACACAGACACAATAAAAGAGATCAATGACTCAAGCGCGTTGCAGCCCTCAGGTTCTTTATGAATATTAATTTTCATGCGTCTGAGCATCGGAATCGTCACGATTTGGATATTGATGGGAATTGCACAATTTTATTAATTAAATAGCAGTTTATAAATGCAGAGCAGTGCTTTGATCGTTGCTGTTCTGATTTTTTCCTGCCGGGGCTGCACAAATGCAGACCTTCTTTGTTGCTGCCTTCTCTATTAGCTCCTCCTTGTTTTTCTTCTTTGCGTCTGTCGAGTTTGGGGTCGCGGGACCGTGCAACGCATTCACTTGGCACGTTTCGGGGTCACAATTTACGGTTTAACGCAACTTCGGGCGATTAAACGACTTTTAATAACTGGGTTTAGTTGCAATTACATTAAAAGAAAACAATAAATTCGTAACTTATTTCTGCAGCCCTTCTTCTTCTTCAGCACTATGCGACCGCGGATTTCTCGATAAAATATACCGCCTGACCGTCACAAATATACCGTAGTATACCTCTCCATGTTCCAAATACATGGTAAATATACCAATGAAAAACAATTTGTTATACCCGGTACCAACGATACGAAAAAAACTGAAAACGCAGGATCATTGAGGCTGGCTACAGCTGCCAGATTTCCAAATCTGGATCAAATCGGATACTCCTTAGAGCCGGAATGGCTTTTACTGTGGCATCTTTTCAACCGCTTAATGTGTACGCAGTACGCGCTGACAGCACTGCCTTTCGTGATATTCTTAGATTCAGCTGTTCGGCTTAGGATTACTATCTAGGGAAAGCATTAAGAACTGATTCTACAATTCTATCCGATAAATTAAGCAATTTTGTACAATCTATCTTTCTTTAAAGACTACTCTTGTTTGGGATTCCAATAAAATATGGGCTCATAGAAAAAAGGTAAATTTGTGTACATTGTTACTACACCATATTATCTACATTTTTTTTGTATTATCGACACCGTAAAATACTAAAAATGGATCTAGTACTCCATTAGGGTTGCCGCCTACGGTCTATTTTGAGGGTCAGTCACACTGAGCACCATGCTTGATAAACTGAAATTCAATAATTTGGTAAATACATGAAAAAATACGTATTGTTTTATAATTATTATTCCGTACGTATACGCAGGTAATTACCAACAAGAAAGTCATCCAGCAAGCACGTGCACAAACGGTTTCCAAGCTTGTGCAGAAGCTAAGGAAGGTAAAAGATGTCCTGGCAAAACATCCGGACAATGAGAAACACAAGGAACGCTTGCGCAAAAGCAGCGAATGCGTGGCCCAGCTGAAGGCTTTAAAGAGTCTGGACATTATGCGCCAGCTGCTCCTACAGGATGGCAAAAATCCCAACGCTGTACTCACAAATGGCCGGTCAACACCAGACGAGGTGGTTCTGGCCATGCTGGCGCTCAACAAACTGATGAAAGCGCTGGTTGACACCTTTCGCCAGACTTTGGCCCTGGACAGTGATAAGGATTCCAAGTGGCGTGAAGAGATTCTGGAAACGAGCAAGAGACGCGTGAAGCTGGAACGCACTGAGACGAAGAAGAAGCAACGCAAGGAAATCAAAGAGCAGAAGGCCCAGACGCGCAATCGACTAGAATGGCTGGAAAAGAACAAAGTGGGCACCGTAGGTGGAACTGATGAAACAGAAGCAGATGTATTGCCTGCGACAGAGTCAGCGATTGAGGAGGTAGAAACAGCCGAAGAGCAGAAACAGAAACCCAAACAAGAAAAACCTCTGCGTAATCCTAAAGTGGCCTCGGTGAAGAAAGAGGAGAAGTCAAAGCTTCGGGAAGAACGAAAACAGAAACCCAAACAAGAAAAACCTCTGCGTAATGCTAAAGTGGCGTCGGTGACGAAAGAGGAGAAGCCAAAGCTGCGGGAAAAGAAGCAACCGCAAAAGGAGAAGAAGCTCGAAATTAAACCCAAACCCATTGACATCAAAGAAAAGCCACGCAAGCGAGAACATGAGAAGGAGGCGAGCATTGAAAAGGAGATCAACGATGAGAAGGATCGTCCAACACATGTCATAGATCCATTTTTCATCACAGAATCCGGTCAACCGTATTTATCCAGCGCTGTAGTTCATTCAGAAGACAACGAGAGCGAAAATGAGGAGCCAATCCCTCATCCTGCCAAGCGAACGCGCAACGAAAACCGACCAAGTTACAGCCGAGAGAAGCGGAGGCCAGAGATTAATAACAAGAAACCCACTGAAGACCTTCATCCATCCTGGATAGCCAAGCAGCAACAGAAACCAGTCATAGGGCACTTTAAGGGCAAAAAGATCAAGTTTGGCGATGACGGACAAGCAGCAGAGATTAAACTTCCAGCTGTCGAGCATCATTCTGCTCCGGCTTTCGCTCATACTCCTACTGCCACCTCCATGGAAGGCATGCATCCCTCTTGGATTGCAAAACAAAAGTGGAAACCAAAAATTGCCGCCTTCCAGGGAACTAAAATTAAGTTTGACGAAGATTAAAGTAACTAATTGACGTATTTTTCCGATTTAATGACTAAATAACTGAAAATGCTGCAAAGTTAGACGCCAATCTTCGGCACATAGTGCCCTCGGGCCTTATCCGCACTGCGTAGTTTGTCGATATCCACATCTGGGAATTTGCGACGCAGCACTCCCAAATCAAAGTTGGGATTGCGGCGAAGAATCATCATTACCTCATTGCGAGAGCGGCTAAAACAGAGACAATTATTAAATAATTAAGTATAATTTTATGTTAGTTGTGCAGAACATACTTCTTGGCCTTGCGCTTGGCATTGTAAAGCTGCTCGCGGTACTTGAGCAAAAATCTATTCACAGCCCGGCCGCCGAAGCCAATGTTGCGGGATTTGATCCATTTGAGGTTCATGAAGGGTGGCAAGACATGCTCGCAGGATTTGTAGTTAAACTGCAAGCCAAAGGAGTTGTTTACCCTCTTCTGGGGTCGTTCTCCTGTTTCACCCGTTTCCAGCAAATGATAGGCCGTGTTGCGTTCCCTCACCACTTTCTCTAGATTGTCCATGGAAATTTTCACCTACAAATAAATGGCTCAGTATCTTGTGCATGTTTACCATTTAGATGTTACCTTATCCACTCGCTCTGGGCTGGGAAAGATCTCCATTTTGTCATTGCACTCGTGCTCCATGGTAAGAAGCATATTCCGTTCCTTCAGCAATACAAACCAGAGCTGATGCAGCTCCTTGTTGGATTTGATGCGCAGTTCCTCCGTCCTCCAGGCCCGTCCAACCTTTACATCGTTCTCGCTCCAATGCTTGGGGTCATCGAAGAACTCCATCAGACCATGCCGCATCGGACTGGTGTGCACCATTTGAGCATGCGGCGTTTGAAGAGCTGCAGCACTACGTATTATATAAAAACAAAGATGAGCGCATGCCAATAATGCTTTAATAAAACCACTTGTCCTGCTGAAACCCACCACAAGGACTGCCATTGCTGCTTTGGAGCAGTTAGAAGGCTTTTTATCGTCGATGTTCTCACAGTTTTAGCCAAATTTAAAACTTTTATTAAAGTTGCAGACATTTTTCGGTACTATGGCCAGTGTGACCGCGGAATCGAAGGTATATTGCAGAGTGACCATGCAGCTCCAGGTGGAAATCCATGGATATGTATATTTCGGTATAAACTGGGGGTCAGACTGTATAGCTTATCGATAAATCCGCGGTCGCACTGGTTCCGTGCGTGTTTTGGTCTTTTGCGAAAAGATAAATTGAAAATTGTCAAGTAGAGTTTAAATAAAAGTAAGGCCCGAGTGTTTTCCCATCATGCAATAAGTAAATGTAAGTTATTACTTTCAAAATTGTAAAAATTAGCTGGTCAAAAGTAGCTTGTAGTTCTATCCACTTGGAATGCAGGAACGCCAACTTTTCTATGTGGGTGTGTGCGTGTGTCAGTGAGTGTGATATGATGGTGTTTGTAATGTTCAGTACACAAATTTAAATTGATAAAAATGCAACAATGGCAGCGATTCTAAATTGCAGCGAGTGTGTTTCCTGGTGACCAAAGTGCTTATTATTTGTTCTTTAAAAAACCTAGTTGGCACCTTCTGAAGGCTGGGCAAAATCAAATTCATTGAAGAAAAAAAAAAACAAATCTAGAGCGATGTAGTAATCCGCCAGTGTTGCCGAGCAGTCGCACAGTGCTCAGAATAGTAGCAGAGCCCTCCTCCCTCACCGTACACAAATATTTATCTGGAGTCGGCGTTATCAGACGGTTTGGGTGAACTCCCCAGTAAAATTTAAAGTTCGATGCTCGTCGTGCGTGTTTTCCATTGTTTTCTACGGTCTATTGATTGCAGTGCTGGTGTTATATAAAGTGCAGGCTTTCATTGAATTAAAAGGTCAGGCATAAATAAAGCGCCCAGAAAGTGAATTGATTGATCAATTTGCCAGAGTGGAAAGAGGTGGTGAGGAGCGAGTCGCTTGTAGGGTTTTCTGTCGTCGCTTCTCATGTTTTTCCCCATTTCTCTTTCGCCGTGTTTCGTAAGACTTCTGTTCTGTGCTGGCTATGCGGTGAACGCCCAAAAACACAAACAAGCCCGCTCGCCCGGCCGTACATACCATTTGTATGTATTTATGTATGTTCGTGTTTTGCTTCGCTTCTGTGTGTACATATGGACGGGACGGCTGCTCTTTTGTCATGCAGGGTCAATTTCCCCGATGCCCCTTACTACTTTGGCCATACATATAATTGGAAGACACTTACTTGCCTTTCATATCCGTAGGCTCGGAATTTCTGTCTGGCGACACTTGTTGCTTCTGTTAATTTTCATGTTAGGGTTAACGTTAACAGAGCTGTTAAGATCCAGAGACCATGTTTCGCCTTCAATTTGATTATCACGTTCATCCTAAAAATAACAAAAAATATAGGAAACCAACTTATAACATGTCGCTGTACAGTGAACTCGCAAAAGAGTGAAATGTTTGGTCAAAGAGTGAAATTGTGATTGATTACAGTGAACAGTTGTTATTATTTTAGATTCAATTTACAAAAAAGACTAGCGTTGGGCACGTTCTCGTACAGTGATACTTGTGATCCGCTGGGTACTCTTTTGTTTTTGTGGCTCCAAATTAAAAGAATGTTCCGCTGCATTACTGTATAGAGCGTGCACTGTATGTACAAATAATCGCATCGAAAGGGGTGTATAATAATAAGCACTACTAGCATACATAATGTGACGCCCACATTCCCAATTTGTGGCGTAGTTTATTATTATAGTGTGCTATTATTGCCGAGGTTTATTACTTCATCCTATCGAAATATCATAATTACTTTGATAAATGTGTATGTACATACTATGGTATGCCTTTTGTTTAATTATTGTTTAAGTAAGGCTCTCCTCTGCGGCAGGTAATGTGGAGGCAGTGAGTAGTTGTGCTGTATTCTCTTGAAGCTCTCTGCTCGATTCATTCACGAAATATGTGCTTGTGCATCAAAGAAGAAAAGCCAACGAAAGTTGTCCGCCACATTACCGGAAATGCAGTTGCAGCCTGCAACCGCAGCAACCACAACGGCGACAAAGTGTTAAACAAATGAAAAATAACCAAGAAGAGATGGCAAGCAAAATAAAGATAAAGATCAAGAAAAGAAAAGAAGATCGGGAGCACGGAGCATGGAGGAGCACGCAGCATCAGCCACTTCACACGAGAAGCATTACCAGTGCAGAGGGGAAAAAGAAGGGCAATAAAGAAACCGAAAAGCTCAACCCCCCCTCTTTTTCTTCCTTCCTTTTCTTCCTTTTCGAAGGCCAGAGAGACACACAGAATGTCAGAGAACGAACTGGCAGCAGCTGCTCCTGCAGAACAAAACGCTGTCACTGCAACCCGTAAGCGAACGATATCCCCATCAAGTTCTCTGTCCCTACGATCGGATCCCAAATCGATTATTGAGATACACATTTCGAATGAGAACAACACAAAGAAAGCTTGCTTAGAAACTGAGAGCGAAAACGGAAATGGAAGCCCAGAGGCGAAGCAGAAGCAGGACAAAGAACAAGAACAAGAACTATCCAGCAGTAGTCAAGCAGCAGCACTGCTGACGGATGAGGAGGAGTTGCGTCATAAGGAGTTCCGAGATAGTTGCTCCATCTTCTTACAGGACCTGCCCTGTTTTAAGTTGCAGCAGGAGCAGCATCCACCCACTGAGGAAACAAAGAAAGTGGTATCGGAAGCGGAAGCGGAGATTCCCAAGTGTCGCGAATGCCGCAAACGACATGTGACGCCCTCCGCCAGTGAGAGTGATGCCATCAGCAACGATGTCTATTGCAGGTTCTACGAATTCCGACGCCTACAATACAACGACAAGGGAGAATTGAGTGTGGCCGGGTTCCCGAACCCCTACATCGAGCCCACAAAGGAGGACTACAGCATTTGGCAGCCGGACGGAACAACCGCTCCGACCAGTGGCTTCATGGACATACAAGTGTGCCGATACATACTCCTCCATGCGGGCGATCAGTTCTGCTATCTGTGGCGGCAGGAGGCGGAGGCTCTGAAGCTGCACGAGAATCCCGATGGAACCATCGCCTGGAAAAAGGCTGTGAAGGGCATACGAGAAATATGCGATGTGTGCGACACCACGCTGTTCAACTATCACTGGACCTGTCGCAAGTGCGGCTTTGGTGTGTGCCTGGACTGCTTTAAGGACAGAAAGGAGGGGCAACGATTGCGGCGCGTAGAGACGGCCCTGCAGAAGGGTTGTGACGAGTATCACTGGGGGCTCTGCACCGATCCCAATGGTCCGCAGCAGCATGCCATGACCGAACTGATGCTGACACAGATCATTGCCGGCGATGCCCTGAACGTTTTGGGCAGATTGCTGCACGAAGTACGCACTTTATGGCAGGTGCCTCAGGTATGCGGCTGCCTGCTGAGCAAGCAGGAGGTGAAAGATCCTCAGTTGAACGCCTTCATACAGGACATGATCAAAGAGTCGCAACTGAAGCAGCACACGAGCTTCTCCTCGCTGGCCTCCGAGCAGAAGCTGCACCAGCAGCAGAGGCTGGAGCAGCTGCACTCCAAGAAGCTGGAATTCGCACGGGAACGGGGCATAGACTATGTCCCAGGTCGGGTCTGGACAAAAGAGACCCTGGGAAAGGATCCAATAACGAGTGCATTCGATAACTTCAAGCACATCAACTTTCTGCGGAAGGGTTTGGCCGGTTTGAGGAGATTTCTGCCACCGAGAGCCATGACCCTGGCCCACTCCACGCAGCTGGCTCCGGGCGTGCCCCACGAATGGCTGTGCGATGGCAAGCTCTTGAGACTCACGGATGCCATGCATCCGGACAACCGTGTGCTCTACCAGGAGGTGTGGAAGTGTGGCCAGCCCGTCATGATCTCAGAGGTGGCTCGCTCTTTGAACCTTGATCTGTGGCATCCGGAGGCCTTCTGCCGGGACTTTGGCGACAAGCCAAACGATTTGATCAACTGCCTCAACGGCAATCTGGTGCCCAATCAGCCCATGCGGCACTTCTGGGAGGGATTCCAGTGCATGAACAAGCGTCTGCTTGACGCCAATGGCAAGCCCATGCTGCTCAAGCTGAAGGACTGGCCACCGGGCGATGATTTCGCCGAGATACTACCCACTCGGTTTGCAGACCTCATGCAGGGACTGCCGATGCCGGAGTATACGTTGCGGACGGGAAATCTGAACATTGCCAGCTGCTTGCCCAAGATGTTTGTGCCGCCCGATCTGGGACCCAAGATGTACAACGCTTATGGTTCGGCCCTGCACCCCGACAAGGGAACGACCAACCTCCATCTGGACATTTCGGATGCCGTTAACATAATGGTCTACGTGGGAATACCCCAGGACGAGGACAGCAAGCCCCAGCTGGCGGCCACTCAGCGAGCCATTGCTCTGGGCGGATGCGATTATATTACGCGCGCTCGCTGCCAGTCGCCCGATGTGCTGCCCGGAGCGCTGTGGCACATATTCCCGGCTCGCGATGCGGATAAAATTCGCGATCTGCTCAATCGCGTGACGCTGGAGAAGGGCTTCCGTCTGGAGCCCGATCACGATCCGATACACGATCAGAACTGGTATCTGGACGACAAGTTGCGGGCCCGTCTATTCAAGGAATACGGTGTGGAGGGTCATCCCATTGTGCAGTGCCTGGGCGATGCTGTTTTCATACCCGCCGGGGCACCGCATCAGGTTCAGAATCTGCACAACTGCATCAAGGTGGCCGAGGACTTTGTCTCGCCGGAGAACATCACGCACTGCTATCATCTAACGCATGAGTTCCGACGCCTCTCGCACTCGCACACCAACCACGAGGACAAGTTGCAGATCAAGAATATCATTTACCATGCCATCAAGGACTGCTGCACCATCTTGACGAGGGCGCTTGACGAACGCCTTGATGTGGAAATGGCCAAGCTAAAGGGAGATTAGATTGCACCATGATCATTTGTCTTCACTTGTTCTTAGACTTAAGATTAACATTTTAATACCGTCAAGTAATCCATTCAATCAAGAGAATTCAACTTTATTCAATCAAATACATTTTTCTCTAATATGAGCAGTAGTTGTAGTAAATATATCAAAACGATTGTGTACTAGTCTTTTAAGTTAAAATTTGCATTCAATAAATAATCAAATAAGCATAATCAAACCTTGTCATTTATTATCATTGATTTAGTGTTTATTTATGGAAGAAAATCAGAGACAAAGGAGCACTAAGATTACAAATTTTAAGTATACTTGAGTACACCATGGGCAATGTTTTTTTTAAATTTATTCTAAATTTAAAGCTAACATTAAAGTTAAATTTATTATTTATTTATTTATTATTTTATAAATGTATATATTTATGAATTTTAGTTTGGGATTGTTTTTTGAATTACCGTTTATTTTTATTTAGCTGATTTTTGTAGGGTTACATTTAAATTTTAATTGATTCAGACTTCTGAGTCTGTACAACAAATGATTAATTTGGTAATTTATTTTATTTTAGAGTGACTGCAGAAACCAAGAGTGGGAACGTCCGTGAAGAGAGCATTACCATCGCCTAACGACCAGTGCCCATGCATGTTGAATTCAAAAAGGAAACGAAAACAGAAACTGATGATGAGGTGTCCAGCGCATGCCCAGGACCAGACAAACACTACCGGCAACATCCGTTCATGGTGCTGCGCATGAGCCAGAGCTGCTAGAGAGCTGCTACTGAGAAGTCAGGTTCAGCGTCAATTAGGAAGCAATCAAGCAAAGCCTTTACGAAGACTGAGAGGGAGAAGGAAAATAATAATAATAAATTAAAGTTTAAGAACCACGAGGGACGGAACACATTCCGATAGACAAGATGACGGTGGATTTCAATGATTACTTTTGGGTAAGGCTCAGAAATTAGCACAATGAAGAATCCTTAATCACTTTATCAACGTTTTGCAGGGCGAGAAGAACAATGGGTTCGATGTGTTGTACCACAACATGAAATTTGGACTGGTGGCCAGCAAGGAGCTGTCCGAGTTCCTGCGCGAGAAGTCCAACATTGAGGAGCAGAACTCGAAGATGATGTCCAAGCTGGCGCACAAGGCCAGCACAGGGACATTGAACAGCACCTTCGCGCCGGTGTGGACCATACTGCGCACCTCGGCAGAGAAGCTCTCCACCCTGCACATGCAAATGGTGCAGAAGCTGACGGAGCTGGTCAAGGACGTGGCCAAGTATGCCGATGAGTTGCACAAGAAGCACAAAACCGTCAAGGAGGAGGAGTCACAGACCCTGGAGTGTGTTCAGGCCATCCAAACGTCGACGGTGGCGGTGCAGAAGTTGCGAGATCTGTATGCCAGCAAGGTGCTGGAGCTGGAGAAGCTGCGCAAGGACAATGGCTCGCACAAGGATGCGGAGAAGCTGGAGAGCAAGCTGAAGAAACTGCACGAGGACTACAAGGCGCTGTTGGATAAGCACAACCCTATTAAAAACGAATTTGAGCGGCGCATGACTCAGACCTGCAAGGTAAATGACCTTCCTTTTTGTCTCCCGGTTCCTGGCTAACAGTTGCTTTTATTTTTGCAGCGTTTTCAAGAGATCGAGGAAGTCCATCTGCGGCAAATGAAAGAGTTTTTGTCCACCTATTTGGAAATGCTGCAGAACAATCATGACATGGTGGGGCAGGTGCATTCCGACTTCAAGCGTCAGTTTGTGGACATGTCTGTGGATAAACTGTTGGAACAGTTTGTGCTCAACAAGTATACTGGCCTTGAGAAGCCGGGTAAGACATCCAATATCGCTTATAAGCAAATATCTAACGTCCTTTCCCCACGACAGAAATGCCCGAACTAGAATGTATTGCTCTGTCGAGTGGTTTGAGGCTCCAGCAGCCGCAGGCCTCTGCCACGGCATCCAACTCGAATTCAGCCACAAGTATTCAAGCAGCTCTTCGGTCTGGCAGTGCAGCAGCCGCTTCTGGCAGCATTGTGTCCATGGATCAGCGAGGTGATGCCGTGGCCGCAATTTCTTTGGGCAGTGGCAGTGCGGCTAGCGGCAGTATTCCATATGCCGAGGACGCCATACTTGGGGCTGGAGCCGGGTCACTGGCGTCACCGCGTCCCACATCGCCAGACATTTCTGTGGTTGGTCAGCCACAGCCAGCCACCTCTACGGTGAAGAGCTTGCGTTCGTGGTTCATGCCCACAGCCAAGCAGCAGCCTCAGCCACAGACAGGTGCTGGAAATTTCGGTATGAGTGGCAGCACCACCAACAACAACAATACCACCACCAACAACACCACCACCACCACAACTACAGCAACGAACAGTAGCAACACAGCAACAACTGGCACGAATAATCTCACCACCAATATCACCACCAAAAACTCTTCTATATATGAGGACAATAGCAATGAAGGTTCATTCTCTTTGATTTTGTTTTTATTTTTATTTTTTGTGTTGCTTTTCGACTCGTATGTTGTATCTTATGGTTATAGTATTTCCGACTAAATTCAATGTTGTCTGATCAGTTTGATCTATTTGTAATATAAATCAAATCTGTGCCTAGAACTATTTACGTGATATCGGGAGTAGCCCTGGACTAACCTTAATTTAATTTATTCACATTTTCCAATACTTTTTCATTTGCTATTGGTTTTATTTCTTGGTCTAAATGTTGTAAATTAATCATTGCATATTTTCCCCGTTCATCCACCACTGTCCTTTATGTCTAAAGTATATGGATTCCTTTACATTTAGTTACTTTCTTTCTACCAATCGGTCTATTCAAATGTACACTCAAGCACCAGCCAATTAAACTAAGGGATTACTTATACATACACATGCACACAAAAACACACTCAAGCACACACCACACATCACATGAATGCCCAAGAAGCCGCCTAACTAACTATCGCCATCTCTTCTCTGTGCTTTTCTTCTGTCTCTTTGCCTAATATACATACGTTCCATGCTTTGCCACCTCTAACATCATTGATCATCTCTCAATCATCGTTCATCCCAAATCAAAAACGCATTATCCATGACACGCACTGATCGACTAATCAAAATCAAACAAACTTTAGATCAGCAACAACAGCCGGCCGAGGCCTTAACACCAACTGCCAGTGCAGGTGGCGGCAAAAAGCAAATAATGAATGCAACGACAAGCGAGCAGCAATTATCGAAATCATTAAATGAGCAAGAACACCTCCAACAGACAGCGGCAGCAAATACCACCACAGTAGGAGTAGCAGCAGCCCCGACAGCAGCCGCCACAACGACAACGTCCAGACGTGCAACGTCACTTTTAAATATATTTACATCAAACTCTCAGGGTAAATGAATCTCAATGAAAGTGATTGAATCCACCCCGCTCCTGCCCTGTCCTGTACCCTGTACCCACCTGTACCTGTACGAACCATCCGAAACGCATGCTTTAAGTTTAGGTTAAATATGTGAATATTTAAAGGCTTTTCTGTGTGCACCAGCTAATTGCGTATTCTAACCTCATACCCTGATTAACATCCAAACCATTTGGAGCACTCTATGGCGGTGTTTGAGTCACGAGTTCGCAGCAAATAATTACATTTAAGTTTCCAATGTAAACTATAAACTATTCCATAGGAACTAACCATTTGCCCGAAAGTTTCGAGTGTCTCGAATGTGTTGTACAGTGTCTCGAAGGGTGGCATATCGTTTATCCACTATGCTCCCCTCAAATATGTATTGTATATGTGTTCTATTAGGCTATAGCTTGCATAATCTTAAGCCATCTCAAAGCTAACAAATTTTATAATCAATGTTTCGCTGGCAGTGTCGGGCATCTTAAGGAGTCGCCGTGACAAGACGAAAACTAAGAAATCCAAAAAGAAGAAAGACAATGAGGCCGCCGAGCACATACAGGAAGAGCGTCTGACCAGGTGGGTACTGGGGACAGTATAATCATCCGCAATCCTTTGCTAACACTCTCCCAACTCTCTCTCTTTCAGCACGGATAGGGCCAACAACACCCTGCTCGATTACGATGATCATGGACGCAGCATGAAGACACAGAACTCGAGTGGCAGCAGCGCTGGCGGCGGACTGGCAGCCTTGTCTGTGACCTCCGCTCAGGGCAGCGTGGACTCGGCTGGGGCCAGCAGCATGGGCGGCAGTGGGGGAGCTGCCGGGGCCAGTGGCGGCAGCCTACCTAATGCGGGAGGGGCTCTTACCACGTCGGCTTCGACCACGGCTCCTGCTGGTGGCTCCAGCGGTACTGGAACTGGGACTGGCTACGAGGTGGATGAGGAGGGCTTCAGCATACAGCCGGCCAAAGAGATCGCCTGGGAGGAGGGTCAAGATAAGTGTAAGATTTGCCTGCAATGTTCCCTTGCAACTGAAGAAATACTAACGATTGGGACCCTTTTAGCTGGCAGTTTCTATTCCGACTCGGATACGGACTCTGATAATGATAAGCAGGAGCGGCGCATTCATGTGAAGATCAAGCCGCTGAACAATGGCCAGGCGCCGATGTCGGCAAGCGTTGATGAGCTGCGTGCGACCGTCGAGAACATTTCCCTGTCTCCAACTGGAGTTTTTTCAGTATGTTATGCTGCGCTGTCTCCATTCCAGATGGCTCTCTAATCTATCTATCTTTATTATCACAGCATCACAGCCAACAGCTGCAGCAGGGAGCACGAGGGGCACCGGCCTCGAGGCAGCAATCGCCCGAGATTTCGAACGCCTCAACGCCCACGGCCAGCGTGCATCCGTACGCACCTCTGCAGAGTCCCACGTTGTCCAACAACAACGCAAACAATGTCAGCAACAATCGGTATGCGGATCTGGGAGATATCTTCTCGGAGCTGGGCGAGATGAGCATGTCAGCCCCGGCATCGGCCACACTGGGCAAGCCAGGGGGACGCCAGATACCGACACCAACGTCCGCGTCTGCAGGTGGAAGCATAGCCATACCACGGCCTCCATCGCGTCGCTCGGACATGATTGCAATTGGACCAGCCGCAACGAACACGGCCCCTGGGCGCGGGAGAATGTCTCCGGCTCCCGTGACGGGAGCTCCCATGAATCGAGCTGAGAGCATTGGCAGTCTGGAGTTCCGTACGGCTATTGGGGGAGTGGGCTCCTCGCGGGGACCATCCCCGCTGACAATTGGTATTTCGGACACAATACCGCTGGCGGTGGCCTTCCACGAGATAATACACGCCTACTTCAGGGGCAGCGATGAGTCGCGGTGCCAGGTGAAGGTTTCCGGTGATATGATGCTATCATTCCCCGCCGGCATTGCCGGCCTGTTAGCCAATAATCCCAATCCAGCCAAGCTGGGTTTTCGCATTAAGCATGTACAGAATCTTGAGAATCTTGTTCCCAATGGGAAACTGGTGCAAATGTGAGTATTGGTTGGATATATTTGTTGGTTTAATGCTAAAGGACTGTCTCCTCCACACAGAGATCGCCAGCAGTCGAGCGCATTGAGCACTATGCTAGAGTTCAATATGGGAGCATTGACGGCCCTTCTGCGAAGGCAGGCGGAGAACAACCCGACGGCCTCCTATTTCAATGTGGACATACTCAAGTACCAAGTGCGAACCAAACCAGGTGCCAGCTCGTGTCCCTTCCAGCTGGTTAGCTACTGGAAGTGCGAGTCCAGCTATACAGCCCTGAAGGTGGACTACAAGTACAATAACCATGCCATGGCCAGTGCTTCGCCGCTCCTCAACGTGACGCTGTCCGTGCCCGTCAATGGCTCTGTGCGTAATGTGCAGTCAAAGCCCCATTCTGCGTGGTAAGAGTGAGAGGAGAGCCTTCGCATTCAGATACCCAAAAACTCATTTTCTTCTTGATTGTTCTGTTAGGTTGGGTGAATCGAATCGTTTGGTATGGAACTTTACGGACATATCGCAGAATTCCCAGGATGGTGGTGTCGGCACCTTGAGGGCTCGCCTCGAGCTCAACGATGGTCCCTCAACACCAGCCCTGTTGGCCACTCAGTTCAACTGCGAGGGGACTACTCTATCGGGCATCGAGTTCGAGCTCCAGGGCAGTGGATATCGCCTGTCGTTGGTCAAGCGGCGCTTTGTGTCCGGTAAGTTTGAGCGGTGGGTGATACATTTTTGGGACCTTCTAATATTTGTTACTCTTGCAGGAAAATATGTGTGCGAGGGCGATGGTATACGTAGCGCGGCGACACCCACACCCCCATCGGTGGGCTCTACCAGTCCGTATTCGGCAAAATCAAATTAGTTTTTCGCTAAATTCAACATGACAACGTGCGGGAATGGAAAATGGCAATATGGCAATAGGCTCGTGAAAACCTAGAGAAATTTTGTAACTAAGCTAAAAAATCACATACACCCACACCACATACACAAACACACATGTATCACAGTAGTGTCGCGTCTCTTTGAATTTTCTTGTGAGCTTTTCTTTATGTATTTTTGTATACACGGAATTTTGTTTCACGCGTAATGTTGACTCTACCTGGAAATGGAAATGGCAATGGCAATGGCTCCGATCTGGATGGTATTATTTGTTATATATACACACACGTTCGAGTATATATTAAATTGAAATGTATGTATTTATTATGTTTAACTGAATACGATGTAAACGTAGATGTAATGTATGTAGATATCTAATCACACAGAACGTTGATTTTATGCTCACTTTTGTACACACACAACACAACCAAATCCAAATGTATTAAATATAAGATACAAAACCTGCATTTCTTCTCATTCGGAGAGTTCGCTCTGCGGACTTTGTTTTTGTCGAAGCGAACGATTGGATTGCTGGTTTTTTGTCGATCAATTATCAAATTTAGGCAATGAAAATTACGAAACAGGTTTTCGGCTTCTACAGCTCGTGACAAATGGTATATGCATATGTACATATGTGCTTATGTATATGAAATTAGCAATCAGTTTCGAACAGAATAAAATTCATAGAGAATGTTGAGAAAAGCGTCGAACAAATGGCTGCTTGGAAGGAATCCAATCAATTAATTGTGGGTGCAAACCAAACAAAAATCTGCGAGGCATTAGCCTCAAATTTAATGTGTAAACTTTTGTAAGAATTTCGGAAAGCATAAAAACAACAGCAGCTGCTGTCGCTCGTCGCGTCGCGTTGCTGTTCTGAAATACGATGGCGATGACGTCACTCTTTAACAAATTGATCTCAAGGTCGCGACGTCAGACGCCTTTTCATTTCACTTGGCACACTTGACTGCTGTATGGGTTGTTCTGTTGTTGTGGCTGCTTCTGTGGATGCCTGAATAAATTGCATTTAATCATAGAACGAGGCGCTTCGGGATGGCATGATGCTCTCTTTGTGGAAGGGAAGAGTGCTCCACAATTTGCTATTGTTGCTCCCAGCCAAATAACAATTGTCGTGTGTGTATATAAATGATTACTATACATTAACATCTCTTGTCACACGATAAGATTAAATTACAAAACAATTGTTGTGAGCAAAAGTTGCTGCAGACGGTATATATGTACACATGAATGTATATACCGCTGTATGAATATAAAACAAATAATTGTTTAACAAAAGCAGCAGACAACTCAGCAGTTCTCGCATTTGTTTGTTTGATGTATGACATTTACAGCCTTACGCGCTTAATAATGCAAACTGTAACGCAGATGCTGGAGGAAAGAAGAGTATGCCATTTATTTTGTTTAACAACATTGCACTTTATTTAGATTGACTTGCATTAGTAGAGCTTAATACACACATACACATACGTATGTACATGTACTAGAATTAAATTTATTTTTAGATATTACTGGTATAAATTAATTGGGTGATTCCTATAGCTTGCACTTTGATTTGTTTTTAAGGAGTTGTTTAGCCTTAAACTGAGTAAACTGTAATCAACAAGTTGCTTAATTAACGTTAATCATTTTAAAATTATTAGAGGGATAAGTTGAATTCGGTTCGTTTGACAAGCACACACCCTGTAGCTGTAGCTATAGCGATAAAGAAACACCACCAGAAACACCAACTTAAGGTACATATACGTTTTGCATTAATAAATGGGCAATTTAATATCACTATCTGCACAGTGGAAGAGAGCTGTTTTTTTGTATCATCTTAAAGCTCAAAAAAGGTTCCATTAATAGGTCTATACCGTGGATATATAAACCAATATGAAGGGGAAGATAATTATTATTTCCGAAAATAACGCATCGCTAGTGTTCCACTGTGCATTTAGTCAATTCACGATGATAATACACATGTGTACATTCCGTACATTCGTGTGTACATACGAGTATGTTTTAGCTTTGCCATAAATATGGTCGATTGCCGGTGTGTGGTGCGGTCTGTGTGCTTCTCTAAATAAACTATAGCTGACATCATTTCTGTTAACATATTCGCAGTTAAACCTCCATATCGCAAGGCGACATATTTCGTAAGCAGATTTAGTTAGTAGATCTTACATCTTACAGCACACTGGCCATTACACTGCATTTGCTGGCGCAAATTCCATTCGTTTCGCCTGCAAGAGAGATGAAAGAGGAAATAGATTTTAAATTGCAAAACAACAAGGTCATAAATTTCAATGTACTCTGTAAGCATTATTGTGCATGTTTAATTGCTTAATTGCAGATCAAATAGATCACTTGATCGATAGAACAACCAATGGGGCCCCAGGCCTCAATTCAGATCGGTTTGGCAAGCAAACATTTTTCCCATTTATTCATATTCAAGGTAAACTGTTTTCAACAGTTGTTGGCAACGCAGAGGATAAAGACATATCTAAGGGACTATTTTTAGATTTTTATTTACAGTTACTTTTACCTGAACCTGGTCAAGAAAGGTAGAGAGGAGCAGCAAATGCTAGAAAAATAAACTCAAACGCGCCTGGAATAAGTTTTTGTGTGTTGAGGTTTTGTTAGAAGTGCGCAATTGACGCCCGCCGGTTCGTATGAATTAATTTAAACTTTTGTGCTACACACGTAAAATCGATTTCTATGTACGGCTGGCTGGGCTGTTTATTTGCATATTTTCTCTTTATAGTTCGAGCGCAAAAATTCCACACAAAATTCAAGGTGGAAAACTGGTGAGCCCACAAGTAAATCGAATTTTCTTATAAACAATGTTTATTCTCTCTCTTTTTATTACACTCGTATTCTTTATATTCTCATAGACAAAAGATCGGGTATCGTACCCACCTCCATCGTTATTCCCAGACGATTAGTCGATCGATCGTCAAGCCTAGTGATAAACCAGTCAGCAAAAATAAGTAGCACAAAAATGTCTCCCTATAAGTAGTAGCTTGGCATGGCAATGCACTGTTAAGCGTTATGGCCTTATCAGACGACCTCAGCACTAGGCCTTGAAATGGGGAAATTAATCAAATCAAATGGAATAAAATATTGAGAGTGTAGGTGCGGCCGGCACTCCAGAATTTTTGGAAAAATTCGTCGATACGAATTCTTAATCATTTATAGACAACTGACTCAGCTCATGACAGAAGCTTCCGTTGCGAAAAATTGTGTAGGGAGAAACGTTAGCCAAATGCTTCTTTCTATATACAGCAATGTACATACCTACCTACACATATGTACATATATATGAACGTAGGTTTATCTATATGAGAATGTGTGCACAGCAGTATATGGAAACCGTTAAACAAACAAACAAAGTCCGAGGCATTATGTAAAGTAAACAAATGAACGAAGACGACCGAACGGAAGGGCCCAAGAAACTGAAACGCTTTTAATAGTTTTCCGTTTTGAGCGGAGAATGATTGAATGGGTGGGTTACAGTGGGAGCATGGTAAGATACATAAATACGAAAATTTAGGAATACTTCTCGATAAAAGCTCCCCTCCCACTACAATTTGAACGTAACAATCCATACATATGCCCGTATCCAATCCAAACCAATCCCCAAACATGGATTGAGCATGACTTATTCAATTGGGAAAAGGTTTCAAACACCTTCCTGCTAATAAATCTAAAATCTCGTAACTATATTTGCGGATGCCAAATGTTGGATGGAAGGTTTTTCTGAAGAAATGGATCTGCGTTGCTGACTTTACGAACGAACTCCAACGATTTGCATAGACTTGCACTGAACTGATTCTAAAACATTAAATTGGTTCACTGAGTCGAGGGATTACTGTTCTCTGCAGTCACGTCTCCCAAGGTCAGCACACACCCATCATAAAATGCTCTTTTTGTGGGGTGGGCAAAAGCAAAACTGCGCCCCCAGCAATCATCTTACCTGTGTGGCTATGCGTGTGTTGGGGTCCTCTGTAGAATGTTCCTGCTGACTGCCACGCCCCACTTTATAGGACATAGTTGCGCAGCTTTTCGGTGGGAAGCGTGCGATTGGCGAAGGACACAATCGCCGCCGCCGGCTGGCTGACTGATAGATCACAAAACACATGGCACTGGTTATCCTTGGAGCTGTGCGAGCGACGCGCGACGAAGGCGAAGATGGTCTTCTTCTCCGTCTGCCCCTCGCCGGTCCACATCCGGCTCTCGGGGTCGATGGCGCAGTGGGAGATTACGTCCGCCGTGTAGTGCTTGCGGAAGAACTTCTTGCGGGTGTTGTCTGTCAGGGTGATGCCCTGCGACGTGACTTTGAAATGGACTTCAGTGGGCTCGGGCAGCTTCTGCTGGGCGTACATCAGCCGTATGGCCTTTCGGATGGCCTCGTTGCCGGTCAGCGACTCTGTGTCGCAGGAGTACAGCCACAGAACATTGGTGGCTGCCCCATGGGTCAGCAGATGCTGCTGGGCCGGCGTCGCCACCAATCCCGGCACTATATCCTCTTCCGGCAGGCGCAGCAGGCAGGGTAGAGCCAACCGGTTGATGGAATGCTCGAACACCAGGGCCGAGAGTGAGGTGAAAACGGGCTCATTCTCGCAGCCCTTCAAGCGCACACCCTCCCGAGTGGGCTCGATGAGAAAGTGACGCACCAACTCCTGGGAACCTGCCGGCGGCTGCGCCACTCTCACCACGAGGCCATAGGCGTTCTTGTACGTGGTCGAGTCGCGCACCAAGAAGGTGCCGGGCTGTGCCGAGGCCAGCAGAGCAATGGCATCCTCCCGTGACAGGTTGGGCTTGTACCAAAACTTGGCGGAGCTGCGGGCAAATCGAACAGAGTCGGCGGCCACCTCCATGGGCGAAAGTGGCAGCTCTTGTGGCGAGCTAAGGCGCTGCTGTTGTTGCTGCTGCTGCTGTTGCCTGGGAGCCATCTGGTAGATGGACTCGGCTCCCAACTGGGTTAGCGTCGTACCAACCGTACCCCCAAATGGAGTTCGAGGAGTGACCGGAAAGGCTGGCGTTTCTGGCCTGCTTGTGGGACTAGGCGTAGTCTGGCCATAGCCAAAGCCATTGGTATTTGGGTTGTTCACTCTCTTTGTGCTGGTGGCATAGATGGGCGATGATGGCGATGTCGATGTCGATGGCAATGGCGATGTGGACCTGACTGTGGCTGTGGACACCTCGCGACGTGTGCGCGTGAGTGTCTCCAGGTTGCTCTGACCATAAACAGCACCCAGTTGCAGTTGCGGCTCCAACTGTCGTTTGTATGTCGCCTCCAATGGAGGTCGTTCCATGCTGTTAATTGTGTGATAATTGCGTTCCACAGCTGTGGATGCCAAGCGGCGGTTCACCACGCCATCTGGCACATCCTGATCGCTTAGGCCTCCACCCAGCTCGTGTCTGTGCTCGTGCCGCTGATCCTCGAACTGAATAGTGCGCGTATGATAGGGCGCCGGAGCTGGCAGGGAGCTACGCTCGGTGTTCATGTCATCCAGATGGAGGTTGAACTCGAAATCGTAGTTGTACTTGCTGGCCTGCCCGTTGGAATGACTGCTCCGATATCCGTTTCCATTGTAGCCATTTCCCTGCCCATTGGGGCTGGGGTAATAGTGGCGTTGCGGCGGTGTGGGCGGCACCCTCTCCCTGCCGTCCCTTTCACGATACTCGCTGAACACCTTATCGCGCCTCTCCCGCAGCAGCTGCTCGAAGTCATCCCTCAATGGTGTTGGCGTCGTGCTCCCCGACCTGTAGTGGTACGTATTGGCAATGGTGTTGGTGCTCGACGCCGTACCATTCGTTCCGTTTCCAAGTGTTTTGCGAACCAGCAAAGGGCTCGTCAGACGAGGTTGGGGCTTTATCATATCATTGGTATTATTGTTATTCGTATTACTGCTATTTTTATGGCTGCCGAAATCAAAGTCTAGGAAACTATCCGCTCGCGTCGGTGTCGGAGTTTTGCGCAAAGGTGTCGATGTTTTGGCCATTCCATAGCTGAAAGGCAGAGAGTTCTCGCGCGCGTGATAAGGTATGCCATTTCCATTTCCATTCAAAGTTCCATTCCCATTGCCATTGCCGTTCACATTATAGTTTTTATAGTAATTATTATTATTATGATTGGCGCTGCTGTATTGGTATTTGTGGTCCGTCGACACGGCAGCACTATCTTCGTACGGCGACCGCATTGTTTCGCGAATTCGAACTGACTGAAAAAGTGAGCTTCGCCAGAGACACAGATACAGATACTACATGCAAACATATATACATAGCGGCGGCAGCAGCGCACACCAGCAGAAGATACTCGTACAACAAAATGTGAAGTCCATGATGCAACTATCTAAGGAGGTCTCGTTGGCTGCCTTCACTTTGTTTTTGCACCATTAGAGTTCAGTGCGTGTTTGCTTGTCGACGCACAATATGATATTTTAGATTTTGCAGCCAGAAAGTTGCTATTTATTTTAGAATTAAGAGCGTAAGAAAACAAATATTTATTAAAAACAAAATTAATGCCATTCCATTGTCGTTTCACTCCCACTTACTTCGCAGAGCCCTTTCCCTCGCACTTATTGACACCATTGTTAGGGGCGCCGTTCCGCTGACGAGACCACCTTATATAATTTAATCATGGTCGGCGTTGGCGTTCGCTCTTGGGGCATTTTACGTTCTCTCTCTCTCTCGGTCCGTTCTCTCAATGTGTGCTTTGTTGGCCAACAAACAAATCAAACTCTTCAAGTCCAAGTCGCTTGCGTCTGTACTAGCCGTGCACTGTGGGCCTATTCGGTATTAGTATCAAACAGTGGGGGCTGATGTATTATTTCCATACGTTTCCTAAGATATGGACCACTGTTCTTGTACCGCAGGTACACTCACACACACACTTGAGGCTGGCTGCTTTGGTGTTGGATGATGCCAAGAGAGATCGATCCGCAAGCGAGAGTGGAAGAGCACGTCAGACAGAGAGAGGGAGAGAGAGGCGGCGGTGATGTCATCCAAACCAATCTACGAATACACACAGAAGAGGCGAAACGAACTAATCAAAACAGGCAATCGACGCACATACCGATTAGAGTCCCTCCGCAGATCCCGATCCCCCGCACATTTCGATTTATAATCCGAATTAATGCTGCATTTCGAATATTATTTGGAATGCGCAGCAGTCTCGCTTCAACTGCATAGCGCAACATATCGAATCGGTATTCAAATGATAACAGCTGTGCTTTGGATCTTTGTACATGCTCTCTCCAATCGCCGCCTCTCTTTAGGGTGCTCTGACAAGGAAAATATACCCCAAAGGCACCGTCCGACGCGCCCCCTCAGTATGCAGGCCAAGCACGTTCCTCGTTGCATCTTCGTGATTTTCCACAAATAAAACTGAATGAGATGAATTTGGTTTGCATCTTAATGGGGTTTCTTATCAGTGAATTGCGGTCCATTTTCCCAGCAGGTTCAGGTTGCACTTTCCCAATGAACTTTTGTGGCTACTAGAAATACACATACACACAGACACTCGAACGAAATAGACAGACACACACACGTGCGGAGATGTGGAGATACACAGAAGAAACAGTCGCATCTTTTTGATTTCTCAACATTTTCATGTAGAAAGTGCTGTGGTGTATTGGCGGTGGGCACAAGCCCAACCGCAAACGGCGTGACGTCAGTGAGGGAAAAAACAAACGATTTGAAATAAAATATTCGCTTAAAAAAGCTGCAAAAATGCTCTGCCAATGTCAGCGTCGCGACGCTGCCCGCAGAGGTGATCTTCTCCAGCATTCAGCTGTGGGTGGGTGGCTGGCACACAAACAAGTTGCTCTCTCCGTTGACCTGGCTGCATGCCTATCTCTCTCTCTCTCTTTCTTTTATTGAGCGGCCTTAGTCAGTCCCTAGTTGGCAACTCGTTTACCTTTTTTTTTCGCTTTACTTCGACCATCTGTTCCAGTTGTTGGTTGTTGTTGCAAAATCTGGCCGCTGAAACAGAGTCTAGGCATGTGGAATTTGGGACTAAAGAGATTAAAGCGACGCCGCTCGTCAGTCCCAAGGAAACATCAGCAGAGACAGCAGTCAATCCCAATCAGGCCTGAGATTCACCATGAATCTTGGTTCCAAAGTCCTCAACACGGGACTGGACACAGTCGAGCGCCCTGGTAGGTAAACCATAAACTGCTGTAAGGCAGCGATTACAAGTTAATGAACACGGGGAAACTCTACGCTTCGAGACACTTTTGCAGATGGGTGCAGTCTACGCTGATTTCTCTGATCTATGAATTGTATATTTATTGTAATTGAAAAGATTATTCTTATGATTGTTTGGTTAAACTCTCAACAAGTCTTAATTGTTGTCCATAAACTACTGTAATCTACACAGAAATAGTACAAGTTAGGTACAGCTTTTATTAATTTTCCTCCTCAAAAATTACACTTTTTCAGCATCATGAATGCTCTGATAATTTTCAAACAAACAACAGACAACCGGACACCATACAATTCGGTACAATTCAAACAAATCAATTCCGTTTCCAAATATAATACAAAACTTAACATTTATTTAAACCTCTAAAAATTATATTCCAACAATGGCCGATCGAAAAAAGCGAGCAGTTCCAGTTATCCTATTGAAGGGACGTACCGCGGACTATGAATTTAGTCAAGCATTGCGTCAGAATAATTTGAATCCCATTTACATAGCGCCATCGCAAGTTTTTATGAAGAACTTGGGCTTGTTGAAGGCCAAGCTTGAGGCGCCGCACAGATATGCCGGAATCATCTTCGCCGGACCGCGCAGTGTCCAGGCCGTGTACGAGGCATTGGGCAATAATGGTATGATGCCAAGTTGCTGGCGTGCCCTGCATAACTATGCCTTGGGCGGGAATACCCATAGCAGTGCATACATGACTCTACGCAACTTGCCCACGCTTGGGGATCGTGCGGTGAGTGCCCACAATCTGTGTGATCTGATTGTGGAGACCATTGGACCGAAGAGAGACTTGCCACTGCTCCTGCCCTGCGGAAATGAGGCTAGTAATACGCTGCGTGTCCGATTGGTCGCCCAAGGATTTCGCGTGGATGCCTGTGAAGTGTACCAAAATCAAACCCATCCGAATTTTAAAAACGAAATGAAAAAGGCCCTCAAGTCAAAAAACCTGGAGACTATTGTCTTTTACAGTCTCGCCAGTGTGAAGAGTGCCTCGGAGTTTTTCAAAAAATATATGATTTCTGTCAGCGACCGCAAACTGATTGCTGTTGGTGCCGCTGTTCAAAAGGCCATGATGGAGGCTAAGCTTCCTGTGAGCGCTGTAGTGGATTTCAATAGCGTGGATCAGTTCATAGACGCCATCAAACACTAATTTAGATTTGTTTTTGTAACTGTTTGTATTTCTGGTATTTGGCCGAGTAAAGTCGAAATTTAGTTGTAAGTTGTACTCCAAGCTAAGATCTCGCCAAAAGGGCGTGAATGAATATTAAAAAGAGAATTTAAGCTCATTGGAAAATAATTGTCGATATATATGAATTACCGATTTTAGCGAGTTTGGCGTGATGTGGCAGCTCTGTTATTAGCCCTTACGTTGTGCTGTTTTAAGTATTAATATTATTAGAGCTGCAGACAAGGAAATTGTATTGTGCTCTACACTTTACGTATTTTATTTTAGTTATTAACTTGCAGTATACACATTACAATTCATTAAACGCACATTTCCGGTATATTGTCTCCCCCATCAAGAAGAAGCAAAAGGTATTAGTGAATAGAGGACTGCTGCCCCTCTAAGGGTTACAATTAATAGAGCTGCCAACGCCTGTCACTATGGCACCGGACTAAAATTTTCCCCTAGTAAGTTTTATATTTTTGTCAGCATTTGTTTATTCGATATCCAAATAAGTTCAAACGAAACAACAATGGCATCATCGGCAGTGGTCAAATCTCTGTTTTCCTGCGATTTCGAGGTGTTTGGACGTGTACAAGGTATTTCTCGTGACCCTCTCTGGTTACACCAGATGTCCGCTAGGCATGCTCTAATTAATTTATCACACCATTTAAGGTGTTTTCTTCCGCAAGGTAAGTGATGAATGGTTCAACTGGCCAATTGACTAATCAGCGGAATGAATGTCTTCTCATCCAGCATACTGAGCGCCAGGCAAACAGACTGGGCGTTAGAGGTTGGTGCATGAACACCAGAAAGGGCACTGTTAAGGGACAATTGGAGGCACCACTTCCCCAGCTAAACGAAATGTAGGAGAGGTTTTTTTGGATTGGTATTACCTGTCTGATGCTAGCTTAATTGTTTGCAGGAAAAATTGGCTGGAGACAAAAGGGAGTCCATCGTCCATTATCGAAAAGGCAACATTTACGGAATCCAAGGAAATTCCCAACTATGCTTTCAGTGGCTTTTCCATCAAGCGCTAGATACCAGTACACATTGCAAGCTCAACACTTATTTTCGGTATATCCAAAGTTCCTTAAGCTATTTAATGTGATGTGTGCGCATGGATCCTAAATACCCTATCCTCTAGTAAAATAGATTTCAAGATATGCAGCATAAAAAGACCGCTCTAGTCAAACAGAAGTGATTCAGCAATTGCAGTCAAACGGCCATAATCAGCGCCTACAAAAATTGCATAAACAATTACTATAAACAACAATTACACAGAGGGCGAAAATGTGAGCAGTTCCAATATTTTCCACATTTGAAGTACAAGATGGGCGCGAAGTGACTCGAAGCGCTGCCAACTCTTTTCTCAACGCACAGTCTGGCAACTCTTTTGTAAAATACTTACATTTCAGCATTATTTTTACATGTCTTTTACATGGCAATTTAAACACTTAAAGCGACTTGAGTGAATAAAAATAAACTGACGCAGATCTTATTGAACAATTATTAATTTCTGAATTTTGAGTTCAAACATTTAAAATGTACATATGGCCTTTAAAACCTTAATACAAGCTGTGAAAATTTCCGCTGTAACTTAATAATAATTCCTGCTTGATTGAAAAATGCTAAAACTGAATACGCTGTTGGGAACTCTACACTTATTGAAATGCAAACACTTGTATGTTTTTTGGGATGCTTTATTAGAAAAATATTGCTCTTTTTGCCATGCATAACATTTCCTTTCATATAGTAACCATTATCATATAACATTCAACGAGTGTCTAAGCGCATTCACTAGATAAATGTTTAAATTGTTGAAAATATTTGTATTTATGTTTCATATGCAGTAATTAAGTACGTAAGACCTGAAACACTACTAAGTTATAATTGATTAAAAGTAAATTAGCTCGATAATTGGTAATACATAATACATAGTGGTAATAAAGTATTTTATGCGTACACTAAAATTATTGTTTTCTTTCTATTAATCTTTCTTTTTATAATAATTAATTAATTAATTAATTGTTTTTGTTTACCGAGTGATAATTAATTAAAATTTGCAATAATTATTGTGTAACTAGATTTTATATGTCTTTTCATGTAATTCTCTCCAGGTGTTTACAACACAATCACTTAAATGTGGAACAGCTTTTGGGTTCGGGGTCTTACGAAACAGGCCTTTAAAAGGATCATCATCATCATCATCATCATCATCATTATCATCAGTTGGTTTTGTGTTTCTACGCGTAAATATTGTTTATGGTATTGGTACTACATCCATAGGGGATCAAGTGCGGTATGTGAGGTTCTTTTCGGTACGGTTCGGTTCATAAGTGACGACTGAGTAATACTGGGCTTGTCGCGGGTGCGTGTTCCACATTCGACCTACTTACGAGACTACTGTATGGCTGCGATGAAGCTGAACCCAGGACTCGAGTGCTTCCTATGCCCCTTCCGAGGGTTAACTAAGGCTCTACTTAATTATGCTCTAAAATTATATTAAGTTTAAAAATATTATTTCCTCTTTTTGTGTATATGGATTTGTTGTGCGAGCGTCTTTTTCCTTTTAATTGAAACTGGTTAAGGATTCATTCGTAAGCTCTAAGCTTTAAAGTTTTCCTACTTAAAAATCCTAGCATTTGTCATAATTTTTCCTCATTGGTTGAGCATTTAGTTTGCGTTCTTGGGATTAAGTTGAGCTCCTACGTAGAGTGTGCGCGAAGATCGAATATTTGACTTAACTTTCAGTAAAGTTTGGCCGTGGCCTTATAGGTAGACTACTTATAGGTACAGGCTATATAAGTATAGTTTATCAAATTTTGTAGACTGTAGTTTGCAAGGTCACAGCACAGCCCCACCAAAGTGAACAAAACCATTCTGACATTCTAACCAACCTTCCTTCCACTCACTTCCGCGCTGCATCATTTAACCTGTGCGGGGGCATATCACATTGGTGGGCCATCCTCGTTGATTTTGGTCGTCCATATCCCGGGCATTAGTTGAGGAGGTAGATTCGATTGTGGTGTGGTCAGTTTCCTTATTTTATTACTAGAAATAATGGGCTTGGAGCTTGGCGTATAGCCCTTGTTGTCCATGCCGTCGATGATGGTGAACTGGGAAGCTGAGGCCATGTTCTGGGCACCCTGGGCGGTCGGCGAAGCCGGCCTGGAGATGGGATGCGTGCGTGGGCTGCTGATCAGCGAGGTGCAGATGCCACCGCAAATGGCCAGGGACGCGAAGGCCGTCTGGGGCACAAGTTGGCCCAAGAAAATGGTCGATCCAATAAAGGGTGCACCGAGCAGCCAGAAGCGGGCCCAACAGATGGTCGAGAACGAGGTGATCTTCTTCTTGTCATCCGACACGAGCTCCACGGTGCAGGTCGTCAGTATGGAGAGTGTGGTGGAGATGGCCATCTTGGAGACCATGGCGGAGCACATGAGCAGCGCCACATTGGCATCGAATGGAATGACGCCCGGCTTGGGCACTAGCCAACCGCAGTAGGCAATGCATCCGGCAACCATGTTGAACAGACCCGTCCAGAGCCACTTCCTGGTGGTCTTCATGATCAGGAAGAGCCCGATAAAGGTGCCAATCATCTCGCTCAAGCCCGCAAAGAAAGTGTTGATGTAGAGATGCTCTCGACTGAAGGAGCGGATATTCAGCAGCATTCCATAGTAGACGACGATGTAGAGGGACCAGGCCAGATGCACGCAGATAATGTGACGCACGGCGCGCTCGCCCTTCCACATGGACCACCAGCCACTGGGCGGTGGGGCATCCATGGCCGTCTGGGCCTGCAGCTCCAGCTGCTGATCAATGTCATGGGGCAGACTGTAGCGAGTGCCATTGACATCGGCGCACTGCAGCAAGATCTTCTTGGCATCCTGCACACGACCGCGAGCGATGAGCCAGCGTGGGGAGTCGGGTATCCATCTGGAAAAGGAACTCAAGTTAGAGCAGGACACTCTCACGTGGAGGCTTTGTGGTACTCACTGCCACAGGTAGATCAGTATCACTGTGGGCCAGGAGATGGCCATGTAGAGATGCGACCAGCTGGACCAGAAACTTGCCACGCCCGGCAGCATCATCACACCAATGGACCAGAACTGCTCGAAGAGAGTGGAGACACACGTGCGATACTTGCCACCCGTTATGTCGGCCATGATCATGCCTCCAGCGGTGTACATCTGCGCACAGCAGACAGCGGAGAGGCAGCGGAAGAACACATGGAGCTCATAGGAAGCCACATGACCCGTCAGATTGCCACAAAAGATCTGTGTGATCATGCCGAAGAGCATCACATTGCGGGGACTAAAGCTGCCAAGTCAAAGAGATTACAGTGAGCTGCCCCGTACACAGATAATGCTCTAGAACTTACTATTTCAAGAGCTGATTCGCCAGGATACCGCCGGTGAGAACACCAAACAGATGGAAGAACTGCGTGACCGAGACGAGAATGTCCCGGGAACAGACTAGGTCGTATTGAGTAACCACCGAGTGGTAGCTGGACTGGTGCTGGAACTCTGTGCAGGGTATGACATTGGAGTTGCGATTGAGAGGCTTCTCCCAGATGCGCGGCTCCTGCTCGCTGTGCTCGTAGTTGTAGTAGTGATGGGCATGCTCCTGCGCATCCTGATAGACGTTGCAGAAGTCAATGTTGAACTCCTGATCCTCGGTCTCCTCCTTCTGCGGATGCGAAACCTTAATCCACTGCGTCTGATTCTGGGCACCCACTGTGTTCGGTGGCTTGCAGAAGAACTCCCCGTGCCTGGGTGCGGGAGCCGTGAAGATAATGCAGGCCATGAACCACGAGGATGGTATCTTACACAGGAAGATCAGAAGCACTGTGCGCAGCTGCCACTTGCCCCACTGGCCCGTGATGCGACCCACTGCGTCCACTTTGGTCTGCATTTTGTTGCTTGTCTTTGGTGCCTTCCCCTCCAATTGGGCGAACGTGTCGTTGGGGTAGAGCTTGTACTCGTGCGTGTGCTGGTGCTTGTGGCTGGGTGTGCTGCTGCCCAAAGTCGTGTAAAATTCTTCCTTTGTGTTGTGGTTGCTGCTGCTGGTGTTGTTGTTGTTGGCCTCTCCTGGTGGATGGCCCTCGGTGGAAGCGGGTGTGGGTGCTGGACAGTTGGTCAATGAGCTGCGACGTCGACACTCATTTGGCCTGGACGTGGCAGTAGTGGGTGTGGGCGTGAGGGCGGGCTCGGAATCGCTGGCCAAGGCGGTGTACTCGTGCGGTGACCTAGTGGCTGATATGTGCGAGGAATTATGGACTCGGGCTACTGACGCGTCGTTCTCCTTTAGGGGCAGTAAAGGCGATTCTGCCTGTAAAATAGAGATGGAATTTGTGAGGGATTAGAACATAATTCAATTAAACATTTCATTAAAATATATATATAAAGGATATACCGAAATGTTTTACCTCATCCTTTAATCTTTCGTTGAATTTCCACCACTTCAATTTGAAAACAAAGTTTCTTTGAAATCGATTCCAACTCATTTCATTCTCGATATCCACTCGAGAGGAATGGCTCTGACCCAGCTTGAACCAGAGACCATCAATACCCCAGACAAAAGGCAATAATTCAGTGGCATTCCCCAGATTATCCCAGAGTGGCCTTGAGGCGCAGGCACTCGAGCTCGAGCTCGAGTGGAGCAATTGCTGAGAGCCCTGCAGTGTCTGGAGCTCGCAATGTGTCGCCCACTTACATGGCACACATGCCAATCCAATGCTATCCATTCATGGAGCTCCCCGGATGCAGTTGGCTGCATAATGAACATAAATTGCACTGCAAAGTGGCTCGGACTTCCTTGCTTTTCCCATTTGCTATTCCCTTTTGCAACTATTCCTTTTTTCCTGCCATTAAACTTATTTCAATCCCCCCAAGCCAGAGCAAACACAGCAGCGGTAATTGAACAAAATATCTATCTATATGTAGAGGAATATATCCGATTCATGGCTATGCTCGAGCTTCTGTAGCCTTGGGCTGAACATCGGGTTGCTTAAATGAAAGCTTCTGCACATTATTTCTGACATCTGCCTTTGCACTCATTAGGTACACGACACGGGGGACCTCGCATATGTCTGCGTATACTAATTTCACTTTTCCAGTTTGTTTTATGTAAATTTTGTTTCTCATATGCACCTGACCAAAATGTCACCCCACAGAATGACCACAAAAAATTAATTACCTTTTTACACGAAATTTTTACCACACACACAGGGCTTTTGACCACAAAAAATGTAAACCATTTTTGCTGGCTTATACGAGAGATGTGAAAAAGAAGTAGAGGTCTGAAGTATTTCAGCTTTGATTCTTACACTCAGTGTATGTTTACTGCATTCATAGATACATATGAAAAGGGAAGTATCTAAATCTCTAAGGGAAAACTAAATTAATATTTCAACAAAATTAAAATCATAATTCAGTCTAATCACCAGCTCTAATTACCAACACTAAAATAACATTTTTAGCTTCACCACCCTCAAAAAAATAACATCAAAATGAGCATAGAAGCCGCAAAGCCGTTTACGACTTCTGGTTTTAGCATTTTTGGGTTGACAAATGTCCCTGAAGCAGGGAAAAAAACAACAGCAGAGGGCTCCTTCTTTCTCAACTAACATACATACATAGATACATATGTACATACTTTTCTTTGCTACTGTATCTCCCTAGACACCATCCTCCGAATATCATAACCAGCAATTGCGCACAGTTGTGTTTCGCTTATTTTCTGTTGTTTTCAGCTGTCGCGTCTCCTCAGTTTTACTGGGGCATTTGTTCTCATTAAAGTATTGTCCTTCGTGTTCTGTTTGTCGCTTAATGTGACCATATATGCGTGTCATTGCCAAGCGTGTTCATGCATGAGGGAAGGTCCTTTGACGGAATATTAAATATTGACAGCGTTAAGAGCTCCCAAAGCCAGCATTAAGAATGGATTTTCCTTACAGAAATCCACACAAAGCTGTAAACTGATGATGGTAACAGGAGAAGGGTTATGCATAATGCATTAGTCCATCGACTTTGCGCTCTCCGATTGTTGTCGTTGCATAAAAAACACCACTTTGCAAAGCAGAAACAAAAATATAAAAAAAAAATCACTTTGATTCTAAAGCTGAAGGTCGTTCCATTGTCAGGACCAGCAAGAGCTGAAGGATCTGCACAAGGAGAGGTATAAACTTTGGTGACGCCCCTAAATATGCAATAATATTATTAGTCAGCATATTCGGGTTTGGGATTCGTTGACTTCAACAGAGACAACAGAGCCGTGTCTCTTGTCTAGTTTTATGCGTCAATTAAATGAGTTCGTTTCTGTTTCTGTTTCTTTATTTATTTATTTCGGTTTGTATTTTTGTTTTGGCGACTGTCAGCAGTTGTGCAAATACTTTTGGCCAAGGTTAATGCCGATTGCCTGCGTCTGTTATTCGCTTCTTTTGTTCAGGCTTGGTTTTGTTTTCGGTGATGGGTAAAGGCTTACTTACGTCTACACTCCCATTCAATTTGATGGTCACGTGACGGATGGTTCAATAGACTAGCCGTAGAGGTGAATCACTTATGTAACACAAGTATGTTCAGCTTGGAGATTGTTTGCCCGTACTCGGACGTCATTTTATTTTGGCATGGGATAGGGGTTCAATAACTCTAAGGGAACAGAAGTGTTTTATTTATAGGGTCATGACTTGAAAGGCTGTCCAAAAAGATTCCCCAATAACCTTGAAATTGATTAATCAATTTATCTTCTGAGGAGTTTATAATTTAAGGAGTTTTGATTGCACATCAAAATTTGTAATTGAATTTTGTTAAATTAAAAATATTAAAAGAATGAAGGGCATTGTGTGAAAAATAAGAAATAAAAATGACTAAACGAGGAAACAGAAGGGAATCGCTAATGGCATAACGAAGTTTATTTACCCTATATTTCGACAGTAAAAGGAAGCCAACAACCTCTTACCAAAGAATACCATACGCAACGACGCGTTGAGTTATGAGCCATGACAGACCAATCTGCAATCAATTGATTATGCCTCACCATCTACCAGCATCTACCAGTTACAACAAATTATTTAATAAAGCACAAAGCCCAGAAAATCCAGCCATAAATTATTCATAAGTCCCTGTCGCATGAATGACTGACTGAAGGAGACTGATTCTGAGACTGATTCTAAAGATTCAACCGAAATTGAGGTTAAGGTTCGCTCCCTGTTCAGTGGGTCGATGACTGATGAAGGGCCTTACAGCCAACCCATGTCCATAATTAAAGCAATTTCTTTAAGTCCGTTTGAGGCAGAACCTCTTATCTACTTTTATTAGCTGTCAAGTTGGAAAATTTGTTGCCCACAACCTATTACAACTATTTCCCTGATGAGAAGCATTTAGTTGGGGAGACAGGAAAATGTTTTTGTTTAAGCTCTTCTTTTTGCCCCTTTATTCCCTGGGGAAGTGCTCCCCTCCCTGTTCTTTATATTTCATTAACTTATTTATTGCTCTTCATAATTCAATGGAAAATGTTGGGACATGGAAATTGATTGTTTATCAGGAAACAGGGCTCCTCTCATTTGGTGGCATATGTTCCATCTGGGTTCCATTGTGTGCCATAAAAGAAATTTGTAATTGAGACCGAAGGGAGGAGGAAAAGCTCTGTTGACTTGAAGGCTGGTAATACGAGTTCACTTCAAGGGGGCTTCGATGGTGGCAAAACCCATAACAGAAGGCATATTCAAAGGAATTGTTGTTTGGAAATTAATGTGGCCTTACAGGGAAGGAAAGAAAGAAGAAACAACTTCACATAAATTTAATTTAACGAGTGTTTAATTTCATCTAAAAGGTGCTAAGAAAGTATTGATATATGATATATCAATTATGATTTAGGAAAAATACTACTTACTACTTTCTTAACTGTTCTTAACTCTATGGAGAAACCAAAATCAAAACACTACAAAGATTTAAATTTATTTTGCAAGCATTCACCATACTCACGTGTTGCACACATTTTCTCTAAAAATTAACACACTTTTCTGTATTTATCAATCAGTTCATTTTCCGACAGAAAATTGTTCACACACAAACAGGCATACGTGTTCATTCTATAACAATAATCCCTGATGAAAATGTGTTTTATTCTAATTAGAATAGGTATTCCAGACGGCAAAATTGTTTATGGAAACACAGAGTGCTCTAATTCTAAAACGATTTTCAAATATTTATGTTTATTTATCAGAGAAAATTCTCTCAGTCAAAATCATTGTTAATATATTATAAATCAAGAAAGCAAGCCGCTCGCCAAGAAACCCTTATCAGCATCTCCCGAGACAATAACATTTGGTTGGACTAAAACCGAAAGAAAAACATTTTCCTCTTGGTCGAGCGAGTGTATTATTTACCCATTAGCGTGGCCTAATGATTAATTAATTGTTTTCGGTCTAAAAGTCTTCAGGTAACGATGGCAACAGCTTGGCTCTACCAAGAGGTTCCTTACTTCCAACAACACATATAGTCGCATGCTTGGAAACTTGCAACAGAAGCAGATGTTGCAGGGAGTGTGAGGAAAGGAGTGCGAGCCTGATGTTGCAGGATATGCCGAGGCAAGGTGAAAGAGGCCGCCATCAAATATGAAGCGTTGACAACAATAGGCGTCAAAGTTAATTGGGGCAAAGCCAGAAAAAGGAATTGTTGTTTGTGCCCCCTGGCTAACAGGTGAATGAATAGCAGGTGGCTCGACAGTGCCAGAGGGAGGGAAATTATGTATTATTCTTTTCAACAAAATCCAAGTACAATTCCAAGCTGTTTTCTGAATGTTGTTTGAGCATCAATGAATTTCCAGCTGGGCCAAGGTTAGGATTATCCTCTAGAGGGGAATAAAAGTACAGTTGTGCCAACTATTTGTGGAAATAATGATGGGATGTCATAATTAGGATGTGGAAAAATATAACGCAAATAAAACAAATATGTACAGTGAATTCTTAGAAATTTGTTTTACAGCTTATAATATTTTTTCGGTCTTTGAACCAAGTATTGGAAACTCTCTCCACTCTCAATATGTTTAAAAAATGAAGAGCAAAAACTGAAATAAACACTTTTGGCACTATTTTCGTTAATTTACTGTTTACGAAAATAGTAACCCATTTAATGGCCGCCACTAAATCCAATTATATTCAGGTTTAAGACATGCGAAGTGTCCATGAAGTCCCCAGACCGCCATAACTTGTTGCCAACACTTTGGTATGCCAAAGACACTTCTGACTGTAGGAGCTATTTGAGTAAGTGTCGTCACCAGACTTTGGCCCAGACTAAGGCGAGCATAAATATTTGATTAGTTCGACGGAC